TCCTGCCGACAGAGTGCCGAGGGTGTGGACAAGGTCGACAGCCATCGTCGCTAACACTGACGATCACGACCGACCCGGGCAGCATTGGGTCGCCTTCCACGTCGGCGAGGACGGTACAGGAACGTATTTCGATAGCTATGGATTACCGCCATTGGACTCCAGATTGCTTCTGCGGCTTCGACGAAACTCCACCACACATTGATGGAATACAACGGAACTTCAGGGAACGCTTTCTCAAACATGCAGACAATACTGCTGTGTATTTTTATATTTTATGTGCAGCGGTTATAATCTTTGTGGGTTTCTTAATCAGTTTACCGATGATTATGAACGCAACGATTGTCGGATTGTAAAATTATTTCAGATAATTTTTCTTTATACTAAAAAAAATGTATACGCGAAATCTCAAAATGCCGAATGCTGCCATATTTAATCATGTTCTTTGAAAAGTAAAATATAAAGGAAATACTCATTCTATGTAATAACTCTATTTTATCAATAAATATTTTGTATTTTTAATTCCTAGTTTATTTCTTTTCCCGCCTCTATCCCCGTCCTAAAATTGTTTTCTTCCATATTTCAAGTTTAGTTTTCGAAAACGACTGAACTTGTTCGTTCCTGTTCTACCTCTCCCCCTTTTGTGTCGAATTTCAATTCTAAACCTCCTGCGTCGTCAGCCGCATAATCACATCGTATAAAGCCGAACTTGTCCGTTTCTACTCCCACGACATTTTCATTTTCCTCACGCCATTTTGTCGGCGCTCCATGACGAACGAATTTCTTTAAAACCACGTGGCACGAACATAGCACGAGATCCTTCCGAGAGTAGGACTCCGCGTCGGCTCGAATTCTTATTCGAACACTCTCGGCGAACAATAGCCGTCGAGGACAATGAAAAGAATTAGTTTTTCTTTAAAAGGGATCGGAAAATAAGAAAGCTACAGGGGCTCGTCATAAATAGAACTTTTTTTGTCTTTCGACCACCCGCCGCGGTAGCCTCCAACAATTTCCCATTCTCTGCAACCTTCGCTTGGGTAGCTACGAGGGCTCAATCAAAACGCTTGGGCTGCTACGGGGGGCCAATCAAAACGCTTGGGCTGCTAAGGGGGGCCAATCAAAACGCTTGGGCTGCTAAGCCGCCAATCAAATCGCTCCGCTTGACGAAATGATTTCTCTCCCATTCAAGCGCCAGCCAATCAGAGCAAGACCTCCCCTCCAGCCACGTCTAGGCCCTTCCTCCTCCCACGCGTCTGGGACCTTTCGCTGACCCCGCCGAGGGGGAGTGGAGGGGGTTTGTTTTGGCGCCGTCGGGGAGAGTGGTGGGAATTTGTTTTGACGCCCTATAGCTGCCCATATACTACTAAATTATTTTGATTTCAAACGGAATACAATTACAAAATAATTGTTTAATTAAATAAAAAAAATTAAAAAGCTAAAAAACAATTACAAAAAATGATCATTTCTAAAAAAAATAAGTTAAATCGATAGTCAAATCTATCGAAATCTCAAAAAACTCAAAATTTATTGTTGGCTCTTTTCCGTGATTAGTTGTCTTGCTGTGTTTACTTCATGAGCGATTGTCATTGCATATTTTGACAATTGCGTACATTGAGATTGATGTGTAAATTGTAAGTAATAGTAAAAAGTAAAAAGTGCAGCTAAATAGCGCACGCGAAGCGCGTTTGTAGTGCTAATAAAATTAAAAAAAAAATAGAACTATCTTACCACTACGTCCATGTCGTTGATCCGGGAACGCCCCGTTTGACCACGTTAATATTGGCCATCGTTTCGATTGACCACGTTGTTATTGATCACGTTGCTATTGACTATGTTAATATTTACCACGTTGAGATTGACCATGATTCCGATTGATCACTTCCCGATTGGCCACCGTCCCGATTAGCCACCGTTCCATTTGACCACCGTCCCAATTGACCACGGTTCCGATTGGCCACCGTCCCGATTGGTCACCGTCCCGATTGACCACGGTCCCGATTGGCCACCGTCCCGATTGGCCACCGTTCCGATTGACCACCGTCCCGATTGACTACGATTCCGATTGACCATGGTCCCGACTGACCACGGTTCCGATTGGCCACCGTCCCGACTGACCACTGTCACAACACAAGTTACAACATTTTACTCGAAGCGAGATCCACTCTACATCAAAAAATGGTTCGGGTTAGTTTTAAACTAGGCACCGCCCCCCCCGTAGGGGGAGGCGGCAGGTACTGCCTCCACGCGTGTACTTTGCAACGGAAAGCGAGGTTCCACATGGGTTTACAACTTTTTACACGAAGCGAGGTCCACTCCACACCAAGAAATGATTTGGGTTAGGTTAGTTTTAAACTAGGCGCTGCCCCCCCCCCCCCCCGGGGG